CAAAGGATAATTCACAAAAATTGAAGAGGAAATAAGGGAAACTATTTTTGCTCAATTACATGCAAATAAAATCTGTACTTCATATGAAAATGTTGAATACTTACTAAAATATAAAATTCTCACATTGTCATAAGAAAAAATAGACTATTTGAACAACATAATACCATAAAAAGTGAACTATTTGCCTCCTCCCCACCTCCAAAATCTTCCAAGACCAGAGGGTAAAATCATTTACAAATGATTTCAAATATTCCAATATTTGCAATAATAATGCATTCCAGTATTACAGAAACCATTTGAAAAAAACAAAAACAAAAACAAAAAACCAAAGCAACAAAAAAGTAATCCAACCAAATTCCTTGTATGATACAAATATGGTCTCGATCCTTAACCCTGAGAGTTAAAACAGAAAGAAAACTATAGACCAATATCCCTAGTGAATACTGATATAAATATTAAAAAAAAAAACTATTAGCAAAGAGGATCAGATAACATATTCAAAATATCATATAATATAACCAGGTTGGATTTGTACCCAAAATATAGAATTGGTTCATAATGGAAAAAAAAAAGACATCAAGCCACATTAATTCAAAAAATAAAAACTATGATTATATTAATATGTGCTGAAAAGATTTTGGACAATACTGAACACATCCAATGCCAATTTTGGTTAAAGGCACCTGAATTAATAGGAATAAACAGATTTTCCCTTAACATGGTAAGTGGTATCTATCTAAAACCTAGAGCAAGCATTATATACAACAGGAAAAGTTGTTAAAGGCTTTCCCAAATAGATGAAGAGTAAAGCAAGTGTACACATGATCACTATTGCCATTTAACACAGTCCTAGAAATGCCAGCTATAACAGTAAGACAAGAAAAAGAAGTAAGCTGTGTGACCTTGGGCAAGTCAGTTAACCCCAATTGCCTAAAAAAAAGAAAAGAAAAAGTAAAAGGAGGGAGTAAAAAACCAAAAACTATCACTTTTTATGATGATCTATCTAAAGAAAGCTAAAGAGTAAACAAAAGAATTTTTAAAAACAACTTTAGCAAAGTTACAGAATAAAAAATAAATCTGTGTAAATCACCAAATATCAACAAAATTCAGCAGAAAGAGACCACAGAATTGTCATTAAAATAACTATAAGAATGCTTAAAATACTCAGAAGGCTATCTACCAACAGATACATTAAAACCATATGAATATAGCTACAAAAAACTCTTTATAGAAATAAGACAGACCTAAATAATTGGAAAAATATTTATTGCTTGTGGGTTGGCCTAGCAAAACAACAAAAACGACAATACTATCTAAATTAATTTACTTATTCAGGCCATCCTGAACAAACTACTAAAGGACTATTAACATCTCAAACATTTACTAAGATAAGTTCCAAATGGAAACCCAACCTAGATATAAAGGCTGACATCATAAACAAATTAATGGAGCAAGCTCTATGAGTAAGGAAAAAGTTCATTACAAGAGGATCAGAAGATAAAATGGATATCACAATAAATTCAAAATGGATATGTGACCTTAATATTAAAGATCATACTATTAAAGATTGTAATATTAAAAAAACTCTTGAAGAAAATTAGATCATGGGTAGGAAATGTATTCATTCTTTACTAAACACAAGATTGAGGCAACTAAAAAGATAATTTTGATTATATGAAAAACTTCTTTAAGTACAATTAATGCACACATGAAAAAAAGGGAAACAGTCAAATTTGAAAAATTCCTTATATTAAATACATACATCCAAGATACATAAACAACTAACAAAAGTATGTGATATCAAAAGTTTTTCCCAATGGGGAACTGGTCTAAGGATCTGAACGTATATGTCTCAAAAGAACAATTTTCAACTATTAACAACTATGTGGAAGAATGATCCAAATCACAAGCATTAAGAGAAATGTAAATCAAAAACAAACCTTGAGATTTCACCTCACACCCAACAAATTGGTAAATATGACAGAAATAATCAATGTTTGAGAGGTTGTAGGAAGATAGGCACACCAACATATTGTTGGTGGCATTATGAATTAATGCAGTAATTTTGAAAACTATTTGTAATTACAGAAATAAAGTTGATAAAATGTCTATATTCTTTTACCCAGCAATTCCACTGGTACATATATACTACTAGTAACTTGCAAGAATGTTGCTGACAGTGGCAGCTAGGTGGCACAGTGGATAGAGCTCTGTCCTTGGAGTTAGGAGGATCTGGGTTCAAATGTGACCTCAGACACTTGACGCTAGCTGTGTACCTCTGGGCCAGTTACTTAACCCCGACTGCCTCACTAAAAAGTTTTAAAAAAAAATGCTGAGGCATCTTTTTAAAAAATGCAGAGAATAGAAGGCGAGAAAGAAAGTAGTACAAATAAATGGAGTGCTTTTGAAAATTAGACTGAACTTATTATACACTTAAAAAAAGAAAAGTAAACTACAACTTACTGAATATTCACATACCATTTTCTTTTTTTCTGATCTTCTATACACATATATTAATTTTAGTTAGTATTTGTTAAATTCAAAATAATATAATTCTACTCACAACTGCCTTGTGCATGTGTCCACACACACACACACACACACACACAGACAGATATCTATAAAGATAGATAGATAGATAAATAAATAGATACACACACACGAACATATTACCACCCCTGGATTTGTGTGGTCACCGTGAGGGCAAGAGCACATCATTTTTGTCTTTGTATTCCTAGTGCTTCTGACACAGTGGGAATTTATTAACTGACTGCTGATTAGTGGAATAAAGAAAGATATATTACAGACAACAGAAGAAGAGTTGGTGAACTGGAAGGTGAACATATTGTCCTGATTATTTTAAAAGAAGCACAGAAACAAGTCTGAAAACTGAAGACTATTCAGTTTGACTTCTAGTTCAATTAGGAGGACTAGAAACTGGTTTTTTACAAGTAGGTTTTATGTGTCATTTCGGAAAAGCTTTAAGGATGGTCCCAAAACAAATCATGTCTATTTTCTAAGGACCAGCCTAGCTAAGCATAGGGAATCTCATCAATCACAAATGAGATTTGTGTTTTAAGGGACCAAGGCTGGTCCCATAATGAATTCTTTGGCTATGATAACATAGGAAACAAAGATAAATAAAATATTTTTTCTTAGTTGTTTATGTATCTTAGATACCAAGGCCTTATCAAAGGAATTTAACATAAAGAAATTTGTTTTTAAATTTAGGGGGAAAAATGATTATGGGGAATCTCGTCTTGATGCCTTTTCATAGGCCACCAGCATCTAGGGATGGCTGGGATCAGGAGAGGCTCAAGCAGGTGCTTGATAAAGTCTGGTAATCTAAGAGGCAGAGAAAAGAAGTGAGTACACACCAGGCAAATAGGGAGATAGTAAAGTATGATGACAAATATATTGAAAAAGATGGCTCTAAAAAAAGGGATATAGACTATATAGAAACTTCAGGGATTTTATATCATAAATGCAAAGCTGTAAGAAAACAAATGAGAAAAAATACAGTACGGAATTTTAAAAGCTCCAAGCTGACCTGCTGAAATGAGTTATTGATAATGAAAAGAGGAAATAGATGTAGAAAGAGAAATAAAAATCTGGTAACAATTTCATGCAAACATTTATCTGGTATAAATCACTGATTGAAATGAGGTTCTCAAAAGACCTTCAAACTGCCTTAGATGATCAAAAACTTGCTTTACTTGTCAAGTGGATGAGAGCTAAGAGTAATACACACTCAAAATATAAACTTGTTTGTAAAATATTACTGAGGAAAGTTAAGGACTATATATTGCTTCATAAAACAGAAAAAGCAGAAGGAAGAATTATTTAAATTAAGTCTGGCAAAAGATCTAAATCAGTCTGGATTTCATAGGATTTTTTTTTTAATTTTTATTTTAAAATAAGAACTATTGATCAATCAATGACTCCAGAGGACTGATGATATAATGTACTATCTACCTCTTCTGGAAGAAGTATATATGTATACACACATATACATATAACACACACATTTACATGCAGACAATGAAGGAATTTACTTTGCTTGACTATGCATATCTGTTAAAGGGTAATTTTTTTCTTTTGTCTTTTTTTAATGGGTAAGAGTGTGGAAAGATAACAAATTTGTTAATTAAAATAGGTTGGAAGGGAGGGGGTGCTACAGCTGTGGAATACTGCATGTATTTTCAGATATGGTTACTCTGTGATTCCATGACTTGCGGTCATCAACATATTGAGAAAATACTGATACTTGTTCACTGCCAAGGACTTTGGTTCTGGGTCTTCAATAGAAGTAGGTGTTGCACCTGCAAGAACACTTACCAGACTGCACTTCCACAGGAACTGCTTCTCAGAATGATGACTGTGGACACTGGCGCTGAATGCATTGCTATACAAAAAGCTGCTGAATTTACAATCCTAGGCTCTTTCCCTCAAGAGTCTAAGGAGGGTGGGATGGGTCAAAGTGGTAGTAGTGGTTTGAACCTCTCCTCCAGGGTGTGCTGCTGCTTTAGCTAGACTGGCCTTTCTGCCCTCAATACGCGCCTACCTCTCAGGGTTATTGCGAGGATAAAATGAGGTAACGTTTGTATTGTGCTTTGCAAATTATAAATGCTAGTTATTTACAAAGACAGCTAGATGGTGAAGTTGATAGTGCTGGACCTGAAATCAGAAACATCTTAATTCAAATTCTGTCTCAGACACTTACTAGCTGACTAGTGACAATCGAGTCACTTACTCTTTGCCTGCCTCAGTCTCCTCATTTATAAAAATGGGCATAAAAGCATCTACCTCTCAAGGATGTTGTGAGAATCAAAAGAGAATATTTGTAAAAGGCTCTGCAAATCAAACAGGCACTTCCTAAATGTGAGCTACTAATTTTATTAAAAAAAAAAAAAAAAAAAAAACTTCTGTAAAAATAATCATGTTTCTCTAGAAACAGAATGAAAATATCACACCATTTTGATGCTTAATATGGTACCAACCTTTTGCTTCCTCTCTTTGGGCTTCTTTTTCTTTGGTGACGTTGGTCCATCTTTTTCTTCATTTCCTTTTTTCCTTTCTTTTTTAATTTGCTTTTGCTTCTGTTTTTCAGATTCTTCTTCATCCTCTGAACTGCTTTCTGCTTTCTTTAGTTTATGTTTAGGAACTTTCTTTGGTGGCTGCAAGTTAATTCCTGCATCAGCTGTCCAATCAGAATAATCACTAGAATAATCACTATAAATGTGGACAAAAAAAACCAAACAAACCTTAAGCCTGCTTCTTTGATATTAAAATAACGAATGAAAAGTAAAGTAATGAGAGAAAAACAATACAGAATTACTGGACTCACTAAAATACTGCAATGATTTCTAATACATCAACTTCTGAGCACTTTCTAAAATATTATGCTTACCTAAACATTTCTAATTCCCACACACAACAAGAAAAAACCAAAATTCCCTTTCAGAAAGGCTCATAATAAAGAGATGAAATAAGGGATAATTAATAGTAATATTTGACATTTGTTAAATTCTGAAAAATAATAAACCTCCTAAATTAGTTTAAAAGCATCACCTTTTTGAAGTACCATTTTTTTTTCTAATGGCAACAACTTTTTAACATATTAAGGAATGGAATCAAATAGGCTTCTATGCAATGAATATATCCTTATAGCATATGGTATCATACCACTGTCATCAAAAAACTTATGAGGCAAAAAAGAAGGTTGGCTGGTCACGCACAAGAGGAATAACTAATGGAAAAACCATGATTATGTGAATTAATGCTATCCCTACCAATACTAAGATATGGGCCCCCAATAAGTGGGGCCACCCTTATTAGTGGACTTGCAGGAGGATGTAGACAACAGATACGCAGGATAGTCAAGCGAACATGGTTTTTGACCTATACTGTTAGCAGGAATATATACCAAATGAGATCACAGATCCATTCTGAATATTTGAGTCATACTTATGAGAAATACAGTATTATGTAGCTTTACAATGTTTATTCAGGCTGTAAGTAAACACATATACTGAATAAATGTGGAGCAGTCCATAAATGAAAGAAAATATTGTTCTCAAGTTATTGAAGCCTCTGCCTTTGGTCACTGATTCCGTAACTTTGAAGGTTCTATCCCCTAAGCCACAGGACATTCTAAAGCCCCTGCTACCATGGGAGGTACCATTCATGGTATTATCAGCTAATGTGGGATGTTTCCTGCTGTTAGGCCAAGAACTAGTGTATTAGATGATCTTTTTGAAGTAGAGAGCTACAATACAGTAGTACATTTGGGTAATTAAAGTCCTCATCATTCTCATAGCATACCCTCTCTGCCAGGCTTACAATTTGCTTTTTGAATGTCTCATCTATTTTCTCTGTCTAAATGATGTAGCCTTCAGTGACAATACTACTTTTGTTTCTAATGTCACTGAGTTTCACCCACAATCTACACTATGTTCCTCACATTCTAGTTATTTCAGGAATATATCTTAATATGCAATCCTAAAAGGTTTAACAAATTTAAAAATTTTCTTTTGTTCTGAACTGAAACACCAAATAAAGTGAGCAATTCCACACAACAGTAGACCAGGATTGTGAAGAAAACTGCAAATTTCTAAATAAAATATATCAAATTCACTATGTAATTTTGGGTTTTCTTTCTGTTCTCTTCTGTGCATTTTTATAATCCTCTTTTAATTTCTTTTCCTTAAAATATTTTTTTTTGACAACCCTATCCCTAATCCCTTTTTTATCTCTGAGCTTATTTAAAGGAGAAATGCTGATCTATACTGATGAAGTAAGTTTCCACCCTGACTTCCCTACCCAATAAAATTACAGGTCTGGACTAAAGGCTCTCATCCCCTTTACCTCATCTTTTTCTTTTGACTAAGTTTTACCCTTCCAGAGTTATATTCTAGTCATGAGTACCATCAGTACCAATCAAAATTCCATTAATACTTAAAACGAACAGTACAGCTTTATAAAAATAAGCATCCAGTCATTTACCTTGAACTGCCATCACTGTGCCATGCTCTCTCTTCATCTTCTGATGTTCCACCACTGACAGCCACTACTTCACCTTCCTAATTAAGAGATATTTAATATATATTTATTGTACATCTCTGCAAAAATTATCAGTAAAATCTGGAGATATTAACATTAGGGAACTTTCATGACATAGCCTATTTTTATTAATATTTGACATAAAATATAGGTCTTATTCTCATAATAAACATAATTTCTGAATCATTCTAAAGTTCACAGAGATGTAACTGGTAATTCCTGGTACTATTATCTTCATAGGACTATAAAGATGTGTAAAGATGTCTTATTTCTGACTCCCTTCAAATTTTTTCAGAAAAAATCTTTCAGAAATTAAAAATGTTTTGTGGTCAATTATTGAATGTAATCTTCACTTTTCCTTCACCTGGTGAGAGGGCCTGAAAAAGGGGTTATAACTCTATTCTGCTGATACTACTGAACTAATTTCACTAAACATAAGTATGAAAAATACATGTATTTATCTGTTCTTATCTAATGTTAATAATTTCAGAACTGGAGACTTGTAGCTAAAACTTGAACTGCTACACAAAAATACGGAGTTAAGAACCCTGAAAAATCTTGGCTTAACATTTAGAACTCAAAATAATGGAAATTTTTATAAGTGACAAATGCAGAAAACTAATAGTTCAATCTCAGAATTATGGTGGGCATAGCAATTTCCTGATTTAGAGTCATAATTCTTTTAATACATTATTAAGCAATGAATTCTGTTATGGTTTTAAATCTTAAAGCATCATTTAAATTGCATCAATCAATAGGACTATTCATTCTTCCATCTCTATTCTTCAAAGGGTGTGTTAGGTAAGCTAAAAGCAGCTGTGTCATAGCTTTCTACCTAACTGACATTAAATTGAAATGTGTTCCTTGACCAATCACTAGAGTATATTTTAATAACTTATTCATGGATCTAATTCAGAGGGCATCATTACTTTTTTTTCTTTTTCCTAGGTTAGAATCTAAAAGAAATTAGTCCCTTAACCTTGCTATAAGTGGATTATCAGTAAAATTTCAAAAGTTATAATAAGAAATGTCTATTAATACTTTCAAAAAAATACTGCCCTCCTCTGATGACCCACATGGGCACAAAAATGAGAGTACCAGAAATAACTTATAAAGAACTACTTCCTGAATCAACACATCTTTTTGTCTTTAATTTCATAAAATCTCTTGTATGAAACCTCTCTACTCACAAAGTCACCATACTGGTACAGGCCCTTATGCCTCCTGTATTATATTCATAGTTATTTGGATTCTTGCAATAACTTTGTAATTGGTCTGTCTCAAGTCTCTCTCTACTCCAATTCCTGTCTTCCAGTCAGCTGCCAAAGTGATTTCCTAAATGCCAGGTCTGACCATATGTCACCCTCCTATTCAATAAATTTCTTATTTCCAGAATAGAATGTAATATCCTCTACTTCAAAACTCTCAAAACCTGATCCCTTTCTTCCCTTCCAGTCTCCTTATACTTGACTTCTCTCTACATACTCCAAGTTCAAGCACAATAGCCTACCTGCGTTCTTCCTACACATTCCATTCCATCTACTGACTGTGCATTTGCAGGGGCTGTTTTCCATTCATAGGGTGCCCTCTTTCTTTACCTCCAACTGCTAGCTTCCCTGGCTTCCTCTGAGACAATTTAAATCTCATCTTCTGAAGGAAATCTTTCCCACCTTTCCCCCAGCTATTAGTCCATTTCCTTTTAAGATTTACTGTACATTTACACTGTGTATGTATTATATATATATATATGTATTACATTCATGGTTATTTGCACATTGTCATCCTTATCAGCATGAGAGCTCATGGAGAGCAGTGATCATGTTATTGCTTTTCTTTGCATCTCTAGAACTTTCCACTATGCCTGGCACATAGTGAGTACTTAATAAAATGCTTGTTGCTTGACTTGCTGAACATGGCAGTGTTCAAGGAAGGGCTAACAATTAGAAAGGGAATATTTGCTTTTCTTGGCCCTAGGGGTACAAAACTAGAGATTATAGGTAGACCTTTAAGGGAGTGGAATTCATGCATGATACAAACAGAAACTTCCTAAGAATTACATATCCAAAAGTGGAATGTTTATCTTGGGAGGAGTAGGTTTATCTTCATTGGACATCTCCAAGCCTAGGCTAGAATACTACTTACTTGCTGGCTAAGTTATAAAGGGAATTTTAAATCCTGTATAAGTTAGACTAGAAAGTCTCTGAGATGGCTATCAACACTAAACATCTTTGATTTTACTTAAAATGAAATGGAAAATTCTAAGGATTAATTTTTGCAGCATACTTCTGTAACGCCTTTTTTCCCTCCCAAAATACAACTTAATAGAATTAATAAATTTAGTCCCATAAAACTGACAAAGTATAATTTTAATGTTTCCCCGGGTGTGCAATGATCACTAATTGTTTAAGAAGGAAAATTTATTGCAAAAACTACCTTTATAAAAATATAGCCTTTGTATTACCAATCTAAATAGTAAGCCTTATGAGATTAAACCTTTTAGCTATTCAATCATTTTAGTCATGTCTGACTCTTCGTGACTCCATTTAGGGTTTTCTTGGCAAAGGTACTAGAGTAGTTTGCCATTTCTTTCTCCAGTTCATTTTACAGATGAGGAAACTGAGGCAAAAGGAAGGTTAAGTGACTTTCCAGGGTTACACATCTAGTAAGTAATATCTGGATTTGAACTCAGATATTCTTGACTTCAGGTCTGGCAATCTATCTACTGAGACAGCTGGCTACTCCATATTAAACTTCACTTGTCCTGATAATAAGTTTAAGTGTTTTAGCTTATATCATTCAAGACAGGAAAAAAACACAAACTATGATTCCCATTCAAATATACTAGATTAGACAAATTATTAGATTGTGCCATCTTCTATCTTGATGTCTTTTCAAATAAAATTAACTTCTTATTAAGTACATAAGCCATCAGAAAGTTTGAAACACATAGGAATAATAAGTTTTTAAAACAATACAAATGTTTCATTACATTGTATAAAAATGAAAAATGTGATGTCTCAATTTCTGTGTTACTTCGGCTCCTTATTTTGAGAATTACTTTGCATGCATTAGACTTCTCTATGAAATGATAATAAGCAGGGTCAATATTTTTAATTTTAGCCATTTCTTCAGAGCAAACAGGTTGTTTTAATAGGTAGAGATGGAGCACACAGACCCTCTTGGACCCTCTTTGGCCATTATGACTCTCCTTAACCACGAATGATGCAGAATACATATGTGCTGTTTGTGTCTACTGATTAGAATTTTATGTTTATTGTTGTTGAGTTGTTTCAGTTGTGTCTGACTCTTTGTGACCCCACTGGGGTTTTCATGGCAGAGATACTGGAGTGGTTTACCATTTCCTTCTCTAGCTAATTTTATAGATAAGGAACCGAGGCAAACAAGGTTAAGTGACTTGCCCAGAATTACAACTAGTAAGTGTCTGAGGCTGGATCTGAACTTACATCCTCCCAGGCCCAGTTCTCTATCCACTGTGTCACCAGCTACCTTAAGAGTTTTGTTACACATTTTTAATTTTAAAAGAATATGAAAAGATTGGGTCCCTTAAAATAAAGACTTTGGCCACCAAATAAAGTTGTTTTTGTTTTTTTTTTTAAATATATGACCTCCAATTGTTTTTTTTTCTACCTGGGAAACTCTCAAAGTGTCTGGACTTCTAAGATTACTGTTAATAAAAATGTTACAGATTTATAACGAGCTTTAACTTGAACAATTGGCTTAGAACAAAAGTGTCCATGGGAGGGATTGCTGCAATAATTTGCTAGTCAGCTTGTGAATGCGTGCCACATTTCTGTCTGGAATGTAGTAGGTAAGTGGAAAGGTCTTTTCTCTGAACTTAAAGGCAGACCTTTTCTGGTCATCTGGCAGAACTTACAAAAAATATCTCAACTACCTGTTTTTAAAAGCAACGTAACTATTATGGGCAATGCAATTCTGCAAACAAAGTTAATTTGTAAACACAACACTAAGCAACAAGTAAATTTTAAATATAGACTCTAAAGTATGTGTGTGTGTGTACATATATATGTACATGCAAATTTGATTAAAAAAAATTTCCCCTGCAGACACTTTGCTTTTATTTCAACTATAATTATACTTGATCAGAACCCACCAATCAACTGACTAGACTGTTGGTTGTCTTAGTTCAAATAATTTTCCAGAATTCCCTCAAAAACCTAAAGACAAATCTCCTCATTAAACCTACATGTTTCCTTTGAGATAATACCTATTAATATTTTTCTTTTTGATCTTGTTTCTTTTTCTGCTCTTTCAATGAAATATAACAAGTTACAGCAAGTCAAATTTTAAAAATTGCAAATCTATCCAAATTTAATGCTTTAGGCCCTAAAAACTTATACAGGAATCAATTCGTATTAGTATAAGAATATGGGATCTTACATCTGAAGAACTATTGCCATTTTCTAACTCCTCTGAGGGTCTTGCAGTTTCTTCCAAGGCAGATCTTGTCCGGTAGTTATGCTGATTAGTCTGTTGCTTTCTTGAGTCTCCAGGATCGAGTAAATGATCATGGGCATGATTCTTTAAAAAAAAAAAAAAAAAAAAAGCTGATTAAATTTACTCAAAATATTATCTGATTATATTTAATTTGACAATTTAAATTATAGATCAGTAAATATTTATATAACTTTTGGTTACAGCAGTGATAGGATTTCTATTGTACTACTAGGTCAAAAGACAGCACATAAATAGACATGGAAATTCACTGTCTTAAAGAGCAATCATACTACGTAATAGCTATTAGCAGATATTTAATTTTACACACATGTGATTTCGAAGGAGAGGATTTTGACAATGACTTAACGAATAAGCTGTTTTCTTTATGTAAATGACTTCCAAAATAGGACACCTCTCCTGGCAGGTCATAAAATTCTACTAACTTGAAAAGTAGCTAACCATTAGGGTATAAAGCAAGAAGCTGAAAGCAAAGGCACAAATTAGAAACCAAATTCTTCAAATTTTTAAGTTCTTCAATTACTACTCCCTAGAAGTTGAAGAAAGGAAGATTTTTAGCTAGATACAATGGAAAGTTTCCTAACACTTAGAGCTGTCCAAAAGTAGAATGAACTTTTGGAATAGGAATACTAGGTTTTTCATTACTGTATGTCTTCAAAGCAGAGACTTAAAATAGAGCAGGGCCCCCAGGGGGTCTGTGAATTTGTTTGTTTTACTATTTTAATATCTGCATTTCGATATAATTGGTTTCCTTTAGAACACTATGAATTCTATTTTATGGATTTAACATTATTCTGAGAAAGAGTCCGTTGGCTTTGCTAGATTGTCAAAGAGGGTCCATGGAAAAAAAAATTTACAAACTCTTGCAACAGAAGGACACTTATGCTGTAAAGGAAATTCCTGTTCATAAGTAAGTCGGACTTGACATGACCCGTAAGGTCCTCTCTAACTTTATTTTTTTGTGATTTTGTCATACCTGATCACTATCTTAAAGTACACTATCTTTAAAAATAGAAAAAAAAATCACCCCAACAAAGTAACAACCCGTTTCTTTAGAACAGCTAACAATTCTTTGTGAATTAGAATAGCTAACAATTTCTTTCTGAATTATGTATCCTTATAACCTCTATCAATTGAGCCTAGTTTTATCAATTGAGCAGTTATATTCTCTGAAGCCACACAGAATAAATTTTTATACTCTACACTTAGTCCTGGTGGTTTATAACACTTTGTATATTTTAAATTAATATTCATTTCTTTCCTAACACTTTTCTTTTCCTGACTTAATATTCCTGATTTAATATTCCTAAGTCTTCTGATCCTTACTAACAAATATAAAATACTAAATCTTCTTCAGTGTGTTTCAAGTACCAAATGGTAATAAACACAACTACTAACAAGATCACGTTCAACAAGGATTGAAAGTTTTAATACCCAACTTAAAAAGAAAATTAAATTAATCATTAAGACATGATTTCCTCTGAGCATTATAATCAAGATTGAACTGTAAAAATGTTTTTGTAATGGTTTAGAGAAAATAGCATATATGAAGAGTCAATTTAAAATTTTTTTTTATATCGATAACAACAAAACATTAATGAGTAATCTAATACTTTTCCTTTTAAAAACAAAATAAATACATAGGGGAAAAAAATAAACAAGTAGACTATTATTCCAAGAAGTTACAATTTTAATTGAAACTGGCTGAAATTCAATTTGGAACTGAGGCCACTTTATGAAAATCAGCACAGGTGGATATCAACTACTCTTTTTCTACTCTTTAATATGTTAGTCACATTATTCATTTTTTATAACAGTTACGAATATCCCAGATTCAGAGAGCAAAATAAGAAGTTGCTAGTAATGCTATATTGTCAATTATCATGAAATATAGCACTAATAACAGTGAATAATTTGCTCTTACCAGAAGAAAATCTAGGATATTTCATGATAAAAGGTTCTATTTCTGCTTATTAATGTCCTGAAAAGTAGTGTGTACTCAGAAATTTAAACAAATATTTAATCTCATTTTACACTTCTGCATTTTATTTCATAGTAAAACTTTTTGTATACTTTATAACAGTTTTTTTTTATACTTTACTTTTTTTAGGGTGAAATACTGAAAGAATTGATTGGTCTTTCCCAAATATGTCACGTTGTCAGTCAGTTTAACAGTAAGATTATGTGAAAAAAAGTTCTATACAAAATTATAATACAGCAAAAATTTCATTAACTCAGCCAAAATCAATGTCGTACCATTTTTTCCCCAAGAAAACTGCAATTCTGAAAAAAGGAAGAATAGAATCGGTCACCAACTTTCAACTTTTTTCTTTCAAACAAGAAGGGTTCCACTGGTAAAGTTTATGCCAAGATTTAAATTTGAGACATTAATTAGACATTTCCCAATCCTTACCACTCAGTTATCCATATGATTAAAAATAGAAGTCAGTTGGGTAATTTCAAAGAAATAAGTCTGAATAGTCTACTGCATGTCCCACAAAATAAATAAGGCTTTAGTAAGACTTAATACAACTGTAAAATTTGAAGGACAGGAAAAATAGGTATCTGCTATGTTTTCATTTATAAAAGTGATCAAGGAATATAGTGAATTAGTTTTTCATTATTTGAGATCAACTTTATTTACTTCCTTTTTATATTAAACTAGATATGATCTTAGATACTGGGGCTTGGTTACAAATAAAAATTAGTTTTCTAAGATCCATACTCCCAAAAGTGAACTGGAAGTATTTAAAGTTGTATATGGATACCATAATTTGCAAGCTGGTAGGAACAAATCCTAAATGACTTCTTGTTGATAAAATATAAAGACCTCTTCATAACAAAATAATCCCCCAAAATTGATCACTTACAGGATCATACATTTAAGAACCTGAGAAATCTTAAAATCTACCTAGTTAAAATCCCATGTTTTAGCAATGAGGAAACTGAGGACCAGAGAGAGAGATCACATATCTAGAAAGTGGCAAAGGTTAAGAGATGAACTCAGATAGTTTGGTTCCAGGTTGTATCTAACTACTTCTAACTTAATTAGTTCTGCCATCTTCATTTATCTATCTAATCCACAGATCAACTACTCATTCTTCTTGGCCCATGATAGAAAAGAAAATGCAATAGTCAAGCAAATGAGAAGACTAAATTTCATTTTATATGACTAAGCAACTTTATGTTTTCCAAAAGATGGTATGTTAGAGCCACAAAAACTATCAGGGAGGAGATAATCCCGTATGAGTCAGAGGGAAAAGAGCTGTGGCAGTTCTTGATGAGTTCCTACTCAGGGTTACTGACAGAGGCAGCTATGCGTCAACCTGATAACAACAAGAGAGATGATGTTGACTTTCCTTGATATGTGTCCAAGACTGAACAGAAAATCTCCCAAGACTTAGAAAAATGGACGACAATTACCCAGTTATGGTGACTTAGTAAAACGTAAAAGGATACTATCAGAAGGAACTTAAAATGTATTGACAATTATTATGAAATCTGGGTCAAGAAACTGAAGACCAAAGGATATATAAAGAAAAAACTAATTTGAAAAGTAAACAGACTGCAAAGAAGGTAGTTTCTAAGGATGGTATTTGGACTTTCAGGTGATGCCTTAAAATAATAAAGTGATGTCAGATTTCTGGCCACATAGCATTTTTTAAAAAAAAGCTGCTAACAATGTATTTGCTAGATGTCTCACAGATCTAATCAAAAGGGCTTTATTTTAAAATGATTGGAAAGGGAATATTGCCTATGTATACCCACCAAACTATATATCATACAGAGCAGCTAAAATAAAGGAAGAACAGCAGCAGCACAAATAATATTCAACAAAGAAGTCAATAATTAAACTGGCTTAAAATATCTATGCACAAATGCCCAAAGGTTAAGGAACAAAATCAAGAGGAAAGAGAGGTTCTAATACAAGAAAGCAGAAGCAGAGTATAGTTCAGGGGTTAGGGGAGAAAGGAATAAAAGCCTATTTAAATGGAGCAAGATTGGTCAAAAAGCTAGGATCAGAGATTTAACACTGAGTATTAAAAAAAGTACACTTGTGATGAAACCAAGATATCAGAGGGAGCTTAATTTGATGGATAAAATTTGGTAAAGATAAACTGAAGGAGAAACATAAGTAATTCTTGTCATATGAGTACACTATAGACCAAGGGTTGTTAAAATATGCCACGGGTGTATAGATTTATTTCAGGGGATTCATAAACTTGGATAGAAAAAAAAATTAGACCTTTATTTTCAAATAACCTCTAACTGAAATGTAGCATTTCTTTCAGTACTTTAAATATGTTATTGTAAGAAGGAGTCTAAATGTTTCACCAGACTACCCAAGAAGACCATGAGGCACAAAAACATTAAAAACCCTGCGATAGGCCACCTGGACAGAAAAGAGGAAACAGATATGGAAAACAGTTTTGGGGGAAAGATTATTGACCTGCCACAAAAGCATGATATAGTAGTTAAGTAGACTTAAATCAACCAGAAATCTGTTAGAACTCTCTCTTTGACAAAAACAGATTAGTTAATAATTTTTTGCCTTCTGTTAGTGATAGTTTTAGCCTTCAGAAAGTGAGGAAATGACTAGGGGAAATTCTAAACCTAATACTCATTAATAAAAAAAATCTGAATGCTAGGGGTGGAAATAATGAGAACATTGGAAAGATGTCACCATTCCCTCCTTAAGATCATGACAGAGAAGCAGAAGAAAGCTGGTCATAGTCTAACATGTACCTCAGATTTTGGGAAAGTAGATTTCAAAGGGCACAGCAGAAAGATAGAAGGATCCCATAGATTAAAATTTTATGGGAGAAATAAGTATACAAGGAATGGAGATGCTCGAGAACAAAATCTTAAGACACAAAGCTAAACAATTCCAGGGAGGAAAAACAGGAGTCATTTGAAGAGACAATATCCTAGGAATCTATGCTTGGCTGACCTTGTGTTACTTAACATTATGACTTAGGTAATGACATAAATGGTATTCCATCAAATTTGTAGATGACACCAAACTGGCAAGGAAAACTAACAGATTGGAAGAGAGAGTTAGGATT